CTTATTGAGTTTAGACTCTCCTCCTCGTTAGAACATATATCAGAGGCCATGTTTCGGATTTCAGTGTCTGTTAAAACTCTACTGTATAGGTTCAACTTGAACAAGTCACCACCGAAAGTGTGACCAGAAACCTTAACCCCAGCATAGTTACCAAGACACATTGTTCCTCCTGTCCTCAGCTCCTTCTCATTAGTAGCTGTAGATCCTATAATCTCTCCGTTCAGGTAGACGGTGAGGGTGTAACTAGAGTAACTCCATAACCAGCAGACGTGAAACCATTCTCCATCAGGCACGTTGTACTCGCTCTGCAGAGAAATACCAGAACCTACCACGTGGTTATAAACACCGTTATCACCAAATAGCATACCGTGACTGTAAGGATGGTAGTTCACAACTATTGGATTTGATGACTGATGTCTCTTCTTAAGCCAAGTACAGACAGAGAACTGCCTTGTAAAAGGGGCCATGTTCGGAGACCACTCTATATAGTCGGCAGTGCTTTGACCAAATCTTAATGCTCTGTGCTCATCTGCCTCTACAGTAGCAGGAAACGATCCTATGACTAAGAGGGAAACTAAAGGTAGTAACATTTGCCTGGGTTGGAGGGAGATTTGTTTAAAACATATAACTATAAGTGATACGAAAAGTTTGTCTTAGCAGGAGCTTTCAAAATACATGGGTAAGGCGTCTTTTCATGGGTGTTAATTTGTAGACCGGGAATACTTCGACAAACAAAAAATAAAAAGCGGAGTTTGCATAGAAATGTATTACTATTATGTTTTAAGAACCGTCAACCGAGGGGCGCTATTTTAAAGTCAAATAACTGTTCTTGGCTCATGATAAAAATTACTACAATTTCATCTGGGATCCAATACACAAGAACAGCGTTACTGTGCCGCGCCGCGTACTCAATGAGGCTTCTCACAGCGGCGAGATGCGCTACTGTTGACTGTGCCGCGCCGAGCTGCCATGAATTGACATCGTCAATTAACGCAACTGGGAGGTCACGTGACAGCAAAGTCCAAGTTGAAGTAGTTTTATTGGAGGGCCAGGGTTATCAAATTCAGTGAAGTGAGCGGAAGTACGGATTCCTAAGGTTTTATTAACAGGGTCGGAGTGAGTAGGAATTTGGTCACGAAAAAAACAGGAGGATCAAGCTAGAGGAGCTTCTGTCTCGAATACTAGCTGAGATTATCGTAAGAAGAGGGAGGCGTAGCCCCCCGCTATAAAGTCTTGGCAAGGGGCGGAAAGGGGCCAACATTTTTAGGCTCATTTGGCCATTCCGCCATTGCATTATCCAAATAGCCTTACTACTAGTACTAAAGACAAAGTGTAGTCCAAATTTACATTCTTCATTGCTAGAATTCCTTCCTTTAAGCAAATTTTCCAAAGAAATTGTAGATTCTCCCTCATCCCTCTTTGCACCCTTTTTGAGACCTATTACTGTAGGTATATTTTCAAAATTTAAAGGACCTTTGACCCCTAAACAGCAAAGCCAAAATATTGCTTGATTTATGATTTCACTTTATGATTTCACATTGTTATATTTTACTCCTGAAAGCAGCCTTTTTGAAATTCTTCCAAAGAATACAATTTGGGAGCATTCAAATATGATGACGTCAGCAGCCGAGGGGTAGGGGGTTTTGAAATGCTGAATGGGGGGCCGGGGGAGCTGGAGGGAGGAAGGGGGTCTGAGCCTAGCTGACGTCAGCAGAAATGTGACGTGAATTTTGGCAAACATTGCATTTTTGTTTCAAATCAATTTTATTAACAACTTTGCTAACTTCCTTAGGCTTAATATTAGTACCTCGGTGAACTGAACTCTGTCGCACAATTTTTCCTGCCTACACCCGTCAGCATTTCTAATTATATACGAAAAACTTACTAATATTCGTACTGATCAACTCAAGGCGTACTCAAAACGTGAAAAATCGAAAATAAGTTCAAAGTTTAGTACTAAATTATCAATGATATGGTTTATTAAGCATAGCTGTGGTCAGTTTACTACCGCCCTCATCAGTTTTCTTTCTATGCGGGGATTTAGCCGTTTTTGAGTCGGTACGTAACAGCTGCATAACAATAGTCCTCGCTCGTTCATTTGCCCTGAATATCTCAATCCTTTAGATTCAAATCTCAACTACATTGTTTAATCATCTAAAAGTTTCATTATCGTCGGTCTTGCACCGAGGGCTAAATTTGACGACCTTACCAATTGTTTAATCTTCCAGCTCTCAAACTTTCGAGGTTTAGACTGTCCCTCATTACATCGGAACCAATATAATGGACATATTTCTTTGGTGCACAATAGTGGTGGTATGTACTCAACAAACTCCGCCTCAGTAGCCCTATAGTTACTAATCCGTGCATATTAGTCATGATGCGATGAGGGAAAGTCTTGACTGAAAACACAAAGACGTGAAGCTTATTAAGAGACTACCGGTGCCAAACTTTGAAATTGTTGTTTTCTTGAAAACCAATAAAACTATGAAGGAGAGCTAAGTTTGAGCTAGAATATGAAACAATTGCACTGTCACACGTGACATGTTTATCTGATGAGGGCGGTAGTAAACTGACCAGTACCACAGCTATAATATATATTTTTATATTATTAGTTTGTTATATATAACAAACCATATATGATTACCCAGGAAAAGTTACCGGCTGGTGGTGGTACTAGAGTTGGTTTAATTTAAACAGACGGCTCGACCTCGCGCGCGACAACAAGCATGATTTGCACGCGTGGCACATTCCAATGTTCAAGCAGCTACCACGTGACACAATTCAGCCAACCAGAGTACAGGAATCCGCAAAGTTAAAGTTGCAAACTTTTGATCGGCCCGAAAGGGGACTTTTCTGGAGATTTTGAGATAACTCAACAATTACGTTGTCTTGAATTTTCCTCCTGCCCCTGGAGAGGTAACGTTACTTTTAAAAAAGGAACATGTTACAAAAAACCGTAAGTCTCCAACTCTTTTACTTTCAAAGTTAAGCCCCATCCGGTCAGGGTTCCTGGGTATAATTAAACCATATCATTAACAATTATAGGGGGCCGACATCTTATTCTAACTAGCTAACCCAACTATAACCGTCCAAAAGCAGTCGAATAATCAATAGGCAGATCCAATTACGGTGAATATGGTATCGCAGTGGCTGATACGAGAACCAGCCCCTTTCGGACCCGGCTCACGTCCGTTATGTAAAAACATGCTGAGAGCTCGAACACTTCTTAATATTATGCTTCATAATACACAGCTACTTACTAAACTGTCATATGAACCCTACCCAGGTTCTTGGTTGTCCGGCTGTTAGGATGGCTAGAATTTGGATCACGAGAGGTTCTTAGTAGTCGGTCATCGATATTATTGTGCACCAACTAATTATGTATATCCATTCCATTGGTCTCGACATGATGAGGGACAGTCTACATTTATAGTTATACTGATAGCTTCAAAAGTTTGAGCTGGAATATTGATCTTAGGTGGGGCGCCAGGGACAAAAGGAAATCGCGGCATGTACGGAATCGCGATTTTTCCATTCTCCGCGACATGCAAATCGCGATTTTTCACGTTTTCCGCGACAGTTCGCGATTTTCTCAGATCCTCGCGACAAATCGCGATTTTTCCAGTTCTCCGCGACAAATCGTGCACTTTTCTTTAAATCGGACCAAATTTGCGCATTTTACTTAAAATCTGAGGACCAAATTTGCGTATTTTCCTTAAAATCTGCGGGCCAAATGTCACGTTTTCTATAACTATAACTATAAGAGAGTATATATATATGAAACCAATCACATTTATAGCCTTCCGTGAATTCCGAATGTAAGTACATTCTCGATACGTATCTCTGAAGGCAGAGCCTTCAGGGGTACGCATCGAAAACTTTGAAAATTTTCGGTCCGAGTCATTTTTAAATCGGCCTCTCCCACCCGTAAATAATACCCGTATTCTGTAAGTTAATTAACACACAGCTTATTGTAACTTTTCCAGACGACCCCCTCCCACTAACTGACTGGCTCAAATAATGTAATAATATTATTAGGTTCAGTAGGTAGGTATGTGAACGGTCAATAAGTCGAAATATAACTGAACATGTGAAAGTAAAAGAAAGAGTAAATGATAACCTGTTAAAACTGAAATTGGTTATAACTTATGACAGTTCGACGGAAATGTGGCAAGTTGATTAGCCTCCTCGTGGGCTTACAAAATAAAACAAAATTTAACAAATTTGAACAAAATCGAACAAAACTATCCCTCACTGACACTACTTCATGATTTATGTGAGTCTAGTCGAGATGTAATCTATACTACTACTACTACTATGTCGGAACTAAGTCCGATCTTCGCCAGATAAGAACCTGTCAATTTTACCTAGTTAACTAATGAACATGCTAGCTTGGGAAATTCAATCAGCTCCGACAACTAAGAACCAATCATTACATTTACATATCCGGATCCCCGACAGCTAAGAACCTCTGGAGATACTTTAAACATTCCATGTACTGTGCAGATCCGGACAGAAATGTTTCATTGCTCGAGAGGATTAAGTTGAAAGGAGTAACAAATTTGAATCGCCAAGTCGAAGTAATTTATAACTAAGAAAACTTTGAGATAAGTTTTCTTTCTAGGCGGGGATTCAGCCGTTTTTGAGTCGGTACGTAACAGCTGCATAACAATAGCACTCACTCGTTCATTTGCCCTGAATGTCACAATCCCTTAGATTCAAACCTCAACTACATTGTTTAATTATCTAGAAGTTTCATTATCATCGATCTTGCACCGAGGGCTGAATTCGAGGAGCTAACCAATTGTTTAATCTTCCAGCTCTCAAACTTTCGAAGTTTAGACTGTCCCTCAACAAACATGTTTATCTGATGAGGGCGGTAGTAAACTGAACAGTACCACAGCTATAACAAACCATATATAATTATCTAACTAGCTAACCCAACTATAACCGTTCAAAAGCAGTCGAATAATCAATAGGCAGATCCAATTACGGTGAATATGGTATCGCAGTGGCTGATATACCGATACGAAAACCAGCCCCTTTCGAACCCGGCTCATGTCCGTTATGTAAACACATGCCTAGAGCTCGAACACTTCTTAATATTATGCTTCATAATACACAGCTACTTACTAAACTGTCATATGAACCCTACCCAGGTTCTTGGTTGTCCGGCTGTTAGGATGGCTAGAAAATGGATCACGAGAGGTTCTTAGTAGTCGGTCACCGATATTATTGTGCACCAACTAATTATGTATATCCATTCCATTGGTCTCGACGTGATGAGGGACAGTCTACACTTATAGTTATACTGATAGCTTCAAGTTCAAAAGTTTGAGCTGGAATATTGGTCTTAGGGGGGGGGGGGGGGGGGGGGGGGGGGGGGGGGGGCGGGGCGCCAAATCGTCGTTTGAATGTGGGACAATTTTGAAAAACTTAACGTTAGCAAAACTGCGCATTTTGCTCTACAAACACACTTTTTTTAGAGATTTTACCCGGTGTATCCTCTAAAATCATCTAATTTGTTCATTTTTAGGGATTACTTCATACTTTTACTATACGATCGCATAGAAATAGAATAGCATGCGATAGTATTCGTTATTAATATATATTTGGGTTAATTTGTATTTATGCGTCATGTTCATAAATTCTTGCATAGCTTTAATGATGGTATAATAATAAAAGAAAATAAGTATGTATCTTAAAACAGTATCTATGGGCTAGTAATATCTTACTATATATAAAATATATATCAATATGTATGTTTATATATCCGTACCATTTTACTGACACCACGGCATCAACTTTAACACGACTTTCCGCAAAAACCACAAAAGCTATACAACTTTAACTTTTTGACTGTTTCAAAAGCTTTAATGGCCTTCAAATCAGCATGAAAAATAAATAATTGGCCGAGGAATAAAAATTTTAGTGCTAAAGATTTGGACCCCCAAGTGGTGTCAAAAACGCAAATCAAATAGGTTATAATTATTTTAGTCTCTTGAGTCTTGACACCACTTTAGGGTTAGATGGGTTCCTGCTAGTAATCAAAATCCAACCAATAATGGACCTTAACCTGATTTTCACAGTCTAAATAATGTTAGACAGATAGTGAACCTTACCCAGTGGCGTAACTTAGGGCCCCGCAGACCCCGCTGTGCGGGGGGGGGGGGGGGGGGGGGGGGGGGGGGGGGGGGAGGGGCCGTAATTAGTGAAACCGCCGTACAAGGGGGGCGCAATTTTCCTGAATTTTAGGCCTTTTCACTGAAAAAACGCCTTGTTTGTGTATTTCCCTGTCCAATTTAGCGTTCGGCCGACGCGAAAAAATATTTGGGGTACCCTTTTTTGCTTCAGGGGGCGCAAAAAGCTGTAGGGGGGCGAGAAAAAAGTACCCGACCTTTTTTTTTTTTTTTAAATTTTTTAGGGACAAAAAATTTTAGGGGGGCGCTTTTCGTCACTGAGCGGGGGGGGGGGGGGCGCCAACAAGCAAAGTTTCGCCACTGACCTTACCTTGTTCTAACAATTTTGTGCAATCCAACAAACAGATGAATTAATACCCTTTGTTCATGTCATAAATGATGTTTGTCACCGTAATGATTTCAATATCGCCAGAAAATCACAAATAAAACTGCAGGAAATACAGACGGAGGTTGGAGAGGCAGTTCAGGAAACCGTTCAGGAGCAACCTGCACAGACTCAGGATGATGGTCTGACTGTAAACCAGCCCCAGGTAGTTGTTGTTGATCCTCTGAGTGGTTCTACTATGGTTACATCCAACAACCAGGTGACTTTTGGGAATGTTAAAAATTAATTGCTAGAATTAACCTGAGAAAGTCCTAAGTACATACACAGAGCTAGTTACACTCATAGTCATAGTCATATATATGTATTATATATGTATAATGTATATTGTATAATATAATATGTATTATGATCTGTTTCTTTAAAATATTGAAAAATTGTTTAAAGTATTGGTATTCGGAGAGTTGTGATTCCAATTACTTAAATTACTACACTCTTACGTTAAACTATTATATTTATACTTATAGTGTCAACCCATTCAATCAAATATGATTGCTCGTTACTATAACACTATCATTATATTGACCTAGTAAGTAAACCATTATTATTCAGGAGTCGAGTGCAGATCAGACCCAGACTGAAGCTCAGTCATACCAAGTAGACAGCGACACCTCCCAAGAAGAGAACTCTGTAGAAACATCCGGGAATGAAGAAGAGGAGGCAGATGAGAAGGGGGAAGGAGAGGAGGCAGATGAGAAGGGGGAAGAAGAGAACGGAGCTTTTGGTTCAACGATACCTCCGAGTTCAACCTCATCTTCAGAACTTCCGGGATCATTTGAGTCATCGGTATGTTCCTACTATTTAGTATTTATTGTAGGTTTAATTTTATAACCTACCAAGACGCACGCTGAGTTGGACTCGTCGACGGTCTTGGAGTTCGAATAATATTTGGAACAAACAATTAAAACGCTTATAACTGACATGCAGAATGGGCTCAACGTTTTTAATCCACCAGCGATCAGCATAACATATCCTTGTTCCATTTTTCTAGATGCCTGAAACTAAATTGTCGGTTTGAAACCCTCCGAAGAAATTACCATCGGTTTAAAATTATTCTGTTAATGTTATGACTAGGATTCGTAATAAGAATGTAAGCGGTGCAACCGGCCATCTCTAAATTTAATATTTAATTTATACAGTAAGACTATTGCTACAAACTTGAGTCTGTTATAAGTATTAAGTCCTTATCGGGTCATGCATTATAAATTACATTTTCTGAATTCTAAATCATTGATCCGAGCACAAATATTTAAGTCCTATTTTTAGTAACACCGCATCATTGATTTCAGCTCCCAACTGAGAAAGGAACGGATATTGCTGACGCAGATAATGGCTATCAGGTCGACAACAATTATAATATTGAAACATCCGCTGAGCAGGACATCGTGGAGAAAATCAAGGTTTGCACACTGAGACATTACTTTTCCCCGATTGTAACAAGAAATGCGGCCGCTTTTCTTTTGTGGATGGCCGCTCAATTTCCCGATCCGTGATGGAGTATTTGATCATATTCCATACCACCTGTGGACCCCAGTCTTTACTGTTTATAAGCATGCAGATATGGCGAAGCGACAGGCCGAGCGCCGCCCAGTTGATATAATTCCATATTTAATTTGAAAATCGTGTATATTTCTATGTAACCATATGTTTATTGTTTATGCAACCTGACACGGATCTGTGCAAAATAGTAATACTAACTCAAAATAATAATAATATGCTATCAATTAGTCCCTAGCGGGATGCGTACATGATGAAATTAACAATGTACTTGAACATTTCAGCACCGCGCGCCAACAATTGTTTAATTCAGATTTTCGCGCAAAATAACTTTGCGCAGGCAGACACGTGGGCGAAACGTACGCAGACACGCACGCTCGCACGCAGGTACGGTCGCAAAGCTACCATATCCCAAAAAAAACCTCGATCGCTAACCCTTGTCCTTGACTCTTTTGTGCCTTCGGCACTTGAGTCATGGATCGGGAAAAAATCACAATAAATTATAAAATCCAACCTTACTCTTAGTCTTAGGACTTAGGTACCAAAATTGTAAGGATTTTCTGCCCGACATTAAATCAGTGTTATGTATATCCTATGCATGGTATGTATTTCCTATCTGTGAACTGCACGTGATCCCTACTTTTTCCTACAATCCCTTTTTTATTCCAATGCAATGATCCCTGACTTGTCCAAATGATATAAGATTTGCCCACACATCACTATTCTGTTTCCAGGAGATAGAAGAAGCAGAAGAGAAGGAGATAGAAGCTGCTGGATGGGCTGATGCCATGGCAACCACACAAGTTATTGCATTTATCATCATTGCCATGGTGGCAGTAGTAGTTATCTATGTTCTTTACATTGCACGTAAAAAGGTGAGATTTAAACTAAAGAATACTATTATCGAAACATTAGAAACCGATTAACGATTGTTTGAAGCATTACCAGTGATTTTACAGCTAATAACCTGAATGGCTAAGTGAATGAAAGATAAAGTGCTGATAGGTCAGACAAAATAAAACATTCTCAATTCTATCACACGAGCACGACAATATACACAATATAATAAATGTATTTTGTATGAGCACGAAACCAATACCATTAGTACACTCACAGCACGTACTGGATCTTTTGTTAAAAGTACGTACCAAAAACTGTGTTGAAATTCTAAGTACGTTGTTAAAAGAACAACTACGTATCAAAAGTCTAAGTACGTATCGCCTTTCCAAGGTGTGCAAGTCGTTACGAGACTACAGGTCCCCCAAGAGTAGACCTAGATACCGGGAGTTGTAATGCTGTAAGTCATGAGGGGAGCTACGTAAATCTGCATGCTATCTGCACGTTTTAATAGTAACCCCGAGCCACAACCTCGGGAATCGGAATCCGACAAATTTTCTTGCATAGATTGCGATTGTATCACCAACCACTGTTCGACTAGTTCAGTTGTCTTGCATGTAAACTAAACTAATAGCGATCTTCCACTATTATATCCAAATGTACAATTCCTGAGTGTTCACAAACATATCCATATTGCATGTGCATGATTACCAATTTACAATTGCGGTAGGTATCAAAATAGTAGTCCCATAAGTTGAAGACGATTTGTTTATTGAATATTTTTTTGATTCAAAGCATACTATATGAGATGGGTATGAACTATGAAGGACTACTATTTTGTACTCTGTAATCGTCACTATACTGAGTTAATCTTAGACTACGGACGAGTGATTCGGGAAATTATATTCCTTATCTAAAATTTCAATCGAATGGGCTGCTGATTTGGACACTATTAGCATTTAGCACCTTATTTTGTTATTCAATGTTAAAGTATATAACATTACATTAAAATTAATACTGTATACATTTTTTGTTTTCTGACATATTCAATGTGGTAGCTTATGATGTATATTGAGCAAGTTACACACTATATAGTATATATTGTATAGTAGAAAATTGAATGTGACATATGTTTTGGTGTACATTCTAGGGAAGAAGCAGAGTTTGATATGAACTGGTGATATAAAGTCTGCTATAACAGTATCACTTTCAAAACGTCTGTGTAGTAATCTAATTTTGAATCAATTATTTAAACTATTTGACATCCTGGAATTGCAGTCGAAAGAACGAAGGAAAGAGAAGGAATACAGGAACCTACTGCAGGAAGACTATGACTCTGATGACGACAAGGCTGCCAGAAAGAAGAGATACGGTTGAATTGAAGGCGGGGTTGATTTTTAGTTTAAATGTTGATTGCTGTTAATGTTTTTTATGCTTCGCTTTTGAACTATGACCTGTGTTTTTGTGTGTCAGCTGGGTAGAAAGCTGTTGTTCGTAGTATTTTATAGCATGTATTTCAGTAACGTTTATAAGAGTTAAAGTAAAATTCGTTAAAATATGCTTGGTTGAAAATTGCAGTTTTATGTCATCAATACATCATTCAATTATTATTTATCATATATTAACACCAGCATTAGGTTGTTAATTTAATCATAAATTATGTTTTAACTAAACCCTTACACTATTACCATTCAGCATGAAAGTAATCATTGTTCCATTGGAACTGACTGTTTTCAACATTTCATTGTTAAGTTCAATTTTATTTGAAATTTCAAGCTTTTGAGTCATTTCACATTTCGTTTGCTATTCAGTATGCATTTCAAAGTTTTAAACCATATATCTGTAGTATAACTTAATGAAACCTCGACCAAATTTAACTTTTAACAATAAGAATGAGAAAACTTAGACTCAAGATTAAAATCCTTTAAATAACATAAAACCAAATATCTGTGCTATAACTTTAAAATGAAATCTTAACCAAAATTTTAAAAAAAAAAGGGGGAAAACCAAAATAAAACAAAATAAAAAAACATGGTTTTAAAATTTAAATTAGGTTATTTTTAAATTTTAAATCCCCGGTTACCCCCCCTGGTATGTCTTTTTTTTACCCATCCCGTTTTAACTGGAATTTAACGTTTGGGCCAAAAGAAATTTAAAAGTTTAAATTTCAAAATTTAATAAAGGCTTTTAATTTAAATTTAAATTTTAAAAATTTACCCAAAAAACAAAATTTTTTAATTTCCAAAAAAAGGAAGACTTACCCCTAAACGAGGCTCCCCTAAAAATTGGGCATTCCTGGCCCCAGCCCTTTTTAAAATTTTGGGGTTTTTTAAGAAATATTTTTTTAAAACCCGGTTTTGGTTTTTGAACAAAATATTTCGTTTAAAAAAAAGGGGGTTACCTTTCCCCCGGGGGATAACCTGGGGTTTTACGAAAATTTAAATTTTAAAAAATTTTCCTATTTTAGGGGTCTTAGCGGTTTGGGGGGAAATAACAGGTCGAAGGGAAAAAAAGTAATTTAAAGGGAAAATTTGACTTAGATCAGTCCCCCTTTTTTATAAATTTTAAAAACCGGCGTTTTTTTTGGTTTTTAAAAATTTTAAAAAAAATTTTCATAAATTAGGTTTTTTTTGGGTTAAAAAGGGGGGGGGGGGGGGGGGTTTTTTGGTTTTAAAAAAAGGGGGAAAAGTTGGGGTGGGGGGTGGGGGGGGGAAAAGGGTGGGGGTTTGTTTTTTGGGGCCAGTTGTTTTTTGGGGGTTGGGGGGGGGGTTTTGGGGGGGGGGGGGGGGGGGGGTTTTGGGGGGGGGGAAGGTTTTTTTAATTTTTTGGGTTCGTTTTAGAAAGGGGGGGGGGGTTTTGGGGGGGGGTTGAAAAGGTTTTAATTTGGGGTTTGGGGGGGGGGGGGGGGGGTGGTTTTTTTTTGGGGGGTTTTTGGGGGGGGAAGGGTTTTTTTTTTTGGGAAAAAAACCCCGGGGGAGGGTTTTGGTTTGTGGGAAAAAAAAAAGGGGGGGGGGGGGGGGCCCCCCCAAAAAAAAAATTTTTGGTCGTTTTTGGCCCCTTTTGGGGAACGGTTTGGGGGGGGGGGGGGGGGGGGGGGGGGGGGCCTTTTTTTGGAATTTTTTTTTGGCCGGGGGGGGGAGGGTTTTTTGGTTTTTTTTGTAATTTTTTTTTTAAAAAAAAAAAATTTTTGGGAATGTGGTTTTTTGGTTAGTGACTATAATGCCGAAAGGGTGGGGGGGGTGGGGGGGGAAAGTTTTTTTGGGAAAAGTTGGAAAAAGGGTTTTGGGAAAAAAGGGGGGGGGGGGGGGGGGAGGGCCCCGGCCCCGTTTTTGGGGGTGGAGGGTTTTAAAAAATTTTGGGGTGGGGGGGGGGTTTTTTTTTGGGGGCGGTGTTGTGGGGAAAAGGGCGGAAAAAAGGGGGGGGGGTTTTCCTTGGGGGTTGGGCCCCTTGCCTTTTGATTTTTTTTTTTTTTTTTTTTTTTTTTTCCCCTTTTTTTTTTTTTTTTTTTTCCCAAAAAGGGGGTCCCCCCCTTCCTTTTTTTATTGGGTCGTCCCCCCCCCTTTTTTTTTTTGTTTTTTTTTTTTTTGGTGTTTGGGGTTTTTTTTTTTTTTTTTTCCCCTTTTTTTTTTTTTTTTTTTTTTTTTTTTGGGGGTTGTTTTTTTTTTTTTTTTTTCAAAAGCGATCGTTCACCAGCCCTTTCCAAACTGGTTCATCTTTATTGAGATTTCTTCATCTTTTTTCGAACTTCTTTGACCTGAACAAAATGGTAGTGAGCACGGCTTTCTAATATGGTTTATTGTTAAAATGTTACTTATTATTTCCATTACATAATTTATTATTATAATAATATAATGTGTAGTCATATCCGTCGGCTAGTATTAACTGAATTACGTAAGACTATAATGCCTGAACAGCGCGCATCACGCACGGCATGTGTGGGTGTCGAGGACTGAATACGTTATTAAATGCTACGCCCACGATATGCTATGTAATGATATTATACCGTGGATTATGAGTTAGACCCAAGCCAGGCCACTTGGAAATTAAGGGTGGCCCCTCAGCCCCTGCCTGCACCACGTTTAATTTGAGAGGCGTGGACGCGCGTACAAAATATATAAAGTGACATGTGCTGATCAGCACTAAAAATGTGCTTTCTTTGTTAAAAACGACACCCGCGTGGCGCGATGTAACAAATCCGAATGAAACAGGCCGAATTACGCGCTTAATAACGCGCGATATTCATAGCTTACTTCGTGGTTTTCCTTAGAGCAAGGCAGCCTTGCCAAGGCTTAAGACAACTAAGGTTGATTATTTAAACACTTCCACCCATCATTTAAGATAACATTATGCTGACACTTGTGATAGTGCTACACAATAACACCAAACCCACACAGGGGAGAGTCAACCACAGAACAACTTCCTAAAACTGACCATTTTTGCATCTCGGAGACCACTGACGTCCCGACCGGGCTTTACTTTCTTCGTCTGGAATTTAGTATCAACCTCCATGGACTCGTCTTGGGACATTCTGGATATACTTCGGGCACGTTTTATACCCTGTTTCTTCCTGACCACCCTTTCACTCATTGGGGTTCGATTACTGAAAAGTGTGTTTCGATGGTTAGTGGCAATTCCAATTCTTGAGATTTTTGCAATGGTAAGTAGAAATGCCACTTACCAATGCCAATACTTAAGAATGTTTACTTTTTTAAATAGGCTAATTCTTGCGGTTTCTAGGAATTTTAACAATTTGTCATTAAATTACACTCGTGGGAAGAAATGGGTGCTGCCAACTAAGTACAAACGTGCGCAAAAGAGGGAATAAACACGAAATACCTGTGTTTGTTAAGTCTATGTTTGTGTCGGATTATGGCCTTCTCTTTTCTTATGAGACCCGCTTTTTCTCGTATATCCTTTTGCTCCTCCGTCAAATTCTCATCTTCACTTTCATAAACACCTGCTTCTTCTAGCATCGCTTCTTCCTGTGCAGGGGAATTTAAGTAATAATTGAAATCAGACCAATCATTGGATAGAAATATTATAAATTGAGGATAATATATCATGTTGATTGTTGAAGAGGCCAAGATAACACTACTTATTTGTAGAATATAACAATAAATGCTGGGTAATACTACCTTCTCCAGTTCATCTAGTTTAGTCACAATATCTGGGTCGACAAAATCAGCGATGTTGTGCCCTTCCCAAACTTCTGGAATGTCATCATACCTGAAATACAAAGCTCGTAACTAATGATAATATAAAGGTTGCTAAACAGTAGTTTTTATGGTTGATGTGTGATCGCCTAAACAATCAGGCTATAAACTTGTCTCGAGGGGCCCCCCTCTCGACCAATTTGGTGCAATATTCCCAACTTTAAAATAGATTAAAATATTACAAAAGTAATATTTAAAGGCGGCTTCACATACTTATCATCAGGATTAGGTAGATCGTAGTGTTTCTTAAGGTCGAGAATATAATCATCTCCCAACTCCAGTTCCATGTCTCGCTCCAACTTGCGTATCTCAGCAGGCTTAACGTATCCGGCAACACGGCGGGCAAGTACTCCTTGCGGAATGTGGGGTGCTCGAACTTCTTGGGAAGCTTTGGGGACGGCTACGTGAAGTCTGTTCAGGATGTTTTCAACCTGTTTAAACATAAGTTTCAGCAATGATAGTCTTGGTTTACTCTAGACCACATAAAACTGTATTATTAATTTTTCTTTACTGAAAAAAAATGTAAGTTTTGAGAAAAAAGAGTTTGAAACAAGGTACATATATTATTGACCTTGTTTCCTGCCATCTTCTGCTCGATCCTGTGAGCAAGAAGAGCATCACAGGCTGTGTTCTGTACTTCAGACACTCCCTCCTGAGTCAGAGTGGACATTGGGATAACCAACACGTTTGCGTTCTTCTTAAACGTCTCTTCTAGTAGATTCTGTAGAGAAGAGGTTGTTATAACTTCATAATAACGTGATAAAATAACATCTCTTGGTGAAGTATAGTTTGTGATAGTAATTTCCTTAATATATTCAAACAATACCCAGGTAAATAACTAAATTAAATTCTATTATAGCTATGAGATTAAGTTTTCGATAAAAGTTGTATGTGACTCGGTTCTAGCAGAAATCGGACGTTATTTGACCGGACATTTCGTAAATGGACATAATTTTGAACGGACATTAAAATGAACGCTCAAAGGCATTAATTTAATATGATTAATTTAACTACCTTGTGAAATTACCTAGGTAATAATTGAATTAAATTCTATTAGCCGATAAGATTAAGTTTTCGATAAAAGTTGTATGTGACTCGATTCTAATCAGAAAACATCCGATAAAATTTAAAATAAAATAAGTTTTCAGTAAAAAGGTCAAAAACATAAGCTGTACAATCAATTGCACACACATGGCACATTCATAAAATTATCCAACCTTATCAGATTATTTAAACAAACCTTTTCCTCTTGAGAGAGATCCTCAGGTTTCCTAGCATCGATCTTGTTGAGAGCTACAATGATAGGCTTGTTAGCGAAGAGTGGCTTGATGTTGTCGAACAGTTCGCACTGCTGTTTCAGAGAGTATCCACATTGCTCGCTGATGTCCAGGACGCACACCACGCACGCGCGTAGATGCGCTAGAGCAGTGATGGCCTGAAGAACGAATTTTGTTTAGTATGGAGAGGTACGATGAGATACTTTAATAAACACGCCATTCTTATATCAGCCTCGTCGTTGGAAATAAGTTGACCCCTACAAAGATCATGGGAGTCTGGGACTAAGAGCTGTGCTATTTTATAAAGGATGAGAATTGTAAGAATTTAAAGTGCACTTATTCAGC